TTCAGTTTCATCTTCTATACATGGACTCTGTTTTAGCGTTTCTAAAATATAACAGTCCTACTATATTTCATTTCTTTGGAACTAGGAAGAGAAGATTACTCAAAGAAGAGAAAAAAAGATGAAAATAAAAAATTTAGAATTTTTTTGTATAGAGTTAAACAAGAAAGTAAATACCATTATTAAAGTAATATAAAATAATGAAAAATTGTCAAAAAACATATGAGAGACCTTCTTTAGAGTCGCGAATCCGACCTATTTTGTTTCAAATGAAAACTTTCTTTATTAAAAACGAAGAAGACTAAAAACCGGCACAAAACATTTATCGAAAAATAAAGTTAATACTTCGAAGAAGCATTTTTATTGATCGTTGAACAGAAAACGCGTTATTAAGGTTAGATTAAGGTGCAATTTGAATAATTTGGAAAAAAAAATAATGCATCAAAATTAGAATTGAATTTAGAAAAAATAAGTGGGCCTTGATGTTATAGTCCAACACCATCAATTTGAGACCCAAAACTCGCCCCATTAATCCCTTACCCGATCTTTAAGGTCCAATCGACCGACACACACAAAATACGTTTCGGAATTGAAATTCGAGTGATATCAATCCATGTAAAAAAAGTTTCAGAATTTAAAGAGAGGTTTATCAGTCAACCTTTAAAAAAAAGATTATGACTTTAATATTTTGAGTAATCATCACATCACATGAAACTAATCCATGTAAAAAAGTTTTAGAACTTAGAGAGAGGTTTATCAGTCAAGCCTAAAAACAAAAAAAAGTATCCAAAAATAAAAATCTGGAAAAGGCAAATGGAAAACGAACAAGCGATTAAACCAGCTTTACTTCACCTAGTAGGAATCATGTCTGCCTATCTGGATTTTCACCTTGTTTTTCTTAGGGTTAGAGGTTTTTAATAGCATCGTCGATTCGCTGAGATTTGACATAAACATTGATGATCATTTTGAAAGTGGTAACCTCATAATCATTAAGACAAGGACGATCTTGATAACCAGCAAAGACTTATACCATTTTCAAATATTGGTCTTTTTAAATATTTTGATAAATTTGGTATGTGCAAGCTGTGTACAAGTTCTATAAACATAGACAAAAGCTCATAAAATTGTTCGAGAAGAGATATTTTATTAACTAAAATGTATAATTGCATTTTTATACTAAAATGAAATAATTGCAAAATACAATTGGATTTTTTAATATATGATTGCCTTTTTATTTTTGAATGTAATATTTATTAGTAGTTCCTAATTAAAAATATATTTTTCAAAATTTACAAATTGACTCATTTTTTTAATTTTTATTTTATCATGGTTTATATCATTAAATGTTCTATTAAATGAATATTATTTGTATTTTAATTATAAATATTAGAATGTTTTTAATATTTATAATCATCATCAAAATAATTATTTATCTTCTAAAATATAAATATTTGAAATATAAAAGGACTAGTTTATAAATAAAAAAGTTTAATTGCAAAATAAAATTCAAAATAAAATGATCCAATATTTAGAATAAAAAATAGTTATTATATTATTATGCAATTGAAAACAGGATGGAGTTGGAACACATTTTATTGCAAAATGAAATTTGAACCAGATTTGGTATATGATTGGAGATGCTTTAATAACACAAATTTTTAAATATTTTAAGAAACATTTATTAGATGACAAAGTTCAATAATTTCACATTTGATTTATAAACTTTCTTCATTAAAAAATATTTCTGTCGAATGACTATTCGAATATAGTTAGTTTTATTATCATCTGAAACCTTATGCTTGTTTCTGTTTTGTAAGATAAACTATTTAGGATATATATATTGAAAAGGGACTATTTAGGATATTGATAATTAAATATTTAAGTAGGTTAACTCGAGATACTGCAGTTTCAGTTGTTCAGTCTTATTACCAATGAACAAAATGATGCATAACATTTGTATTCTAGATTATGTCTTTATCAATGTGAGATTCTTCACATTTGAGCTTTTAGTTCTAGGCACCTCTTTTTTTTATCATTTTCTTCTAGGCAGAAATAAAAACTCAAATGTTTATGCACTTATCCCTTAGGTAGAAACAACTTTACCTTGGGTAACAAGTTAAAAACACAATCTTCGACAACGCAAGAAGGCACCGCCATGTCTATGTCACTCTCAAATCTTCTGAAGCCAGTTTAAAATTGTGATTTATTCAATATAGAAACATGTTTTTAGCTACACCCTAACCATCAATTAATGGTAATTTTCCTTGGCGAGCGTTCAGGAGATTCACGGACCCATATAATTCAAATCTCATGGATCCCTTACATTTAAACTCTTGGGTCACTAGACAACTTTTATAAAGTTGATTCGAAACACTTTAAATGTCGTACTTGGATTTATACTAAAAGTCGACAACGGATATTGATACTTTGTGTCATAAGTTGATTCTAATAGCTTTTGTAGGTCTATGTGTTGAAGTGGACTACAGATGAGCAATTGTGAAACCCAAGATTAACTTTTCGAAGGTGAAAATTAAAACTAAGTCAATACTATCACTCTTTATTATTGTTATAGCCAGAAATGTATGATAGGGTCAAAATTCAGATTTATTTCCAAAATATTATGCTGCCGTATTGGCATTACTGAATGGTTAATTTGTTTCTAATTATCATCGTAATCTCAGTAAGAATTCAAATGGATGATCAATTGATCATAATCTTTTTATTTGTACACCCAAGAAAAGCATTTTCATAAGAAAAATATTATGATACACTAATACATTTGCTACTTTTAATCTCCTAAGAACAATATTTGCTCTACCAAACTCTACAAATGATAATCAGGAAAGCAAAATAAGACCAAAAGGATTTTTTTTAAACAATTTTCATCCTGATTAAGAAACTTTTGATTTTGGAAAGTCCATCTTTAGGAGTTGCTAGGGATACTTACGTAATTTACTCTCCGCAAGTCAAACGTTGACCAGTCTTCCCACCAAAACTCAACGGCGGGGATTAACTCTACCTAAATCCACGAGCTTCTTCGACCTGTTTGCGCAAAACGACGCCGCTGCTGAGATATGAGGCTTTTCGTGTGCCGTTACCGTTACCTCGCCGGAGTTTCCAACGAACTCCGACGGAAACCTGATTTTCCGTTTAAAGGGACAGTTAGGACTAGCTCTCACCAACGGGCTCAAACAGAAACCCATTCCCGACATGCTCTTCCCTATCCCCGTCACAATCTTCCTCCTTCCCGGAGTTTTCGTAGCCGGAGTTCTTCTCGATCTCCCCGGCGTCTCCTCAATTGATTCCGATGGTGGAACGTTTTCGTCCTCCGGTTCCGTATCTCTCGCAGGCGACATTCCTCGACAGAACACCCGTTGAGGTCTACGACCGGCGATTACGTCCTCGATGTAGCACGCGGTGGTCGGTTGCTTTTTGGAGCGACCCGTGGAGAGAATCGACGAGATCCATGATCGCGACGAAGACGACGAAGTCTCCGACACGTCGCACGAAAGCCTAGGATTGGGTTTGGGATTGGAATCGAAATCTTCAGATCTGGCTCTGAATAGATTCGAGATTCTGGAAATTTTACCCGCTTTCGATTTAGACGATCGATGCGAATCGAAGTCCTTGCATGAATATCCGAGATCCACCTGAGGCGTGGTGAGGAATCGGCGATTAGAGGTTAAAGGATCTCCTCCGGCGTCGGATTTTCTACGGGTTACGTAAGGAGAAACAGAGCGAGGGAAAATCAGAAGGGGAGGATTATTAGATTTCCGCGATTGACGTTGATGATCTTCCGCAGCGGCTGTGGCGGCGGCAGAAGCGGCGAGGGAGAGGAGACGTTCACGGAGGCAAGAAGCGCAGACGCCGGCGTTGCTGCTGAAATCGACGGTGTGTCTTTTACACCTCATCGGAGGAAAGGAGAAAAAGAAAAAAAAAAACGAAGGCTCAGAGAGAGAGAGAGAGAGAATTTTGCCGGAAAACTTTTATTCACCGAAAGTCTCGCTGTTATAGTGATGTGACAACCTGTAAGAAGAAGAGAGAAGCAGAGGATCTGGTGGTAAAGATTTTGTCTTCTTGTTCTAAAGATCCCTGTTTAGATAGAGAGAGAGAGAGAAAAGGAGTCAGAGGATAGATAAAGCATTCTCTGTCGGATGAAAAAAAAGAAGAGAGAGAAAGTATCTATCTACAAGACTCGCATTTAGCTAATGGAGATTTGTAAGCATCACATTTTGACAGATCATCATCACATATCACACTAAACAATTAACAAAGCTCTGAATTTTAAGGTTTTTTTTTCAAATACTATATACTTACACATTTACTTCAAATTAAATGAGTTAATTTGCAAGATTCATCAAAAGAAAAAAAAAGTTTGATTAATGAAATCACAAATCTCAATTTTTTTTAGTTTATTCAACAAAGTTACTATTCCAAAATATTACCACTTAGAATCAAATTTACTTAAATCATCATTATATGAACAAACGCCATTATTTTTACTTTCTTCATGCAGAAGGATAAATCTACTTATAGTTGACATTGCTTTATCTTTGTCTTGGACCAATACCATTGGATTTGAATGAGATGTGTAGTGATTACCTCAGCCACTGACTTAAAAAAACAACACTTGAATGATACATATCCAATGTATTTAACTATATATCAATTAAATAAAAAAAAACCTAAAAGGGAAGCATGTGACGCTGGCTGGTAGAAGCCGACAAGTATTAGGTGAAACGAGCCATCTTCGTTTTCCACATCCCACACGAATGTTCGTCCGTTTCTTCAACCGCTTGCCACGTGGCCTCCCAACCCTCATCCTGGGCCTTACCACAATATTGGGCTTTACAACCTTTTCCAAAGTCTTCCTCCTTATTTATTGGGCCTTCTAAGTCCAATAAATGTTGGCTTTCCGACAGATGCTGTATTGTGTGGGGTCCACCGTGGAACTTCAAAATTCGAAAATTCAAATAAACAGAAAGGCAAAAAGGCAAAAAGAGAAAATGACTATGCACGCAATCTTATCTACATTATTTTAGATTTGACCATTCGCAAAAGTAGGAACCAGACCATACTGAACCAAACCGAACCAGAGAGGCACAGAGACCAACCTTAGCTGGTTAACGGCGGCTAAGCGACTGTAACCGACCGAACCACACAGAGGCACGGAGACTAACCTTCTAGAACTATAGATAGACATTTATTCCCTATTTGTTTTCCCATTTTTACCCCTAAATTGACTCTTCGTCTCTCAGCTCTCGGAGTCTTTGGTCTGTTGGCGAATTTTGTAGCAGTCTTCTCTATTTCTGAACTGGAATTTCGTCTTTGGGAATTTGAGTTTTCATCTGAAGCGGAAGGAGAAAGAAGATGACAACTATGGAGAGCTTGATTGGGTTGGTTAATAGGATACAGAGAGCATGTACCGTGCTCGGTGACTATGGTGGTGGAACTGGTGACAACGCTTTTAATTCTCTCTGGGAAGCTCTTCCTACCGTCGCCGTCGTCGGTGGTCAGGTGATTTCTCCGGTCAAGTTAGCTCTGACTTCCTCCTAGGTTTTTCTCTGTTTTCCTCTGTTGATGACTCTTTGAACTTGCTTTCTGCGTTTATGCAGAGCTCTGGAAAGTCTTCTGTTCTTGAGAGCATAGTTGGGAGAGATTTTCTTCCTAGAGGATCCGGTTTGTGAATTTCTAACCTCTTCCATTTTATTCTCTCATGTGTTTGCAAGTAAAGCAAAGAGCTCTGAAAATTTGAGCAACGAGTATTGCGGTGCAGGTATCGTTACGAGGCGGCCTTTGGTGTTACAGCTTCACAAGACGGAGGATGGAACCGAGGAGTATGCAGAATTCCTCCATCTTCCCAAAAGGCAATTCACAGATTTCGGTATGTAACCTTTACATGTATGTCTTTATAATTTGTGTGTGAATGTATGTGTGTTCTGCTTCTTTACTTAGGTTTTGTTTTAGTGTCTGTGTCGTTTGAATTGAAACATATTCTTTGATGTTGAAAGTGTTCATTGGGTTTTGCTTGAAAAATTGTATGATGTTGCAGCTGTGGTTCGCAAGGAGATTCAGGATGAGACTGATCGAATCACAGGGAAGAGCAAGCAGATTTCTCCAGTTCCTATTCACCTCAGTATCTTCTCTCCAAATGGTCTTGCTTTAAACACGATCTGTGGATTTTTACTTCCTGTAATACATTTTCTTTCTTTCTAGAACTAACATTAAAGTTTGCTCCTTTTTCTGTTGTGTGTTTTGGGAAACAGTTGTGAATCTGACCCTCATTGATTTACCCGGTTTAACTAAAGTGGCGGTTGGTATGATTTTTAAAACTCTGGTTTTGCATTTCTTTATTATTTGATGGATGTATGAAAAAACTATGAACCTTTTTTGATATTGTCTTTGATTTTCAGAGGGACAGCCTGAAACCATTGTTGAGGATATCGAAACAATGGTTCGTACATATGTTGATAAGGTGAGAATTTCTAGTGATTTGTAAACATATGTTTGAGCGTCTGCACTTTTTTCTTCAGTTTTTAAGATTTGCTTTTTCTAGTACCAAATCGGTTGACTTGTGTTTGTTTTGCAGCCCAATTGTATCATATTAGCTATATCTCCTGCCAACCAAGACATAGCTACGTCAGATGCAATCAAGCTCGCGAAAGAAGTGGATCCAACAGGTTCGTCTGTTGTTCTGTTGCAAGTGTATGATATATTTGGCAGCATCTGTATTGTGTGTTTTGATGATGAAATGAGTTTTTTTTTATTCTCCCAGGCGAGAGAACATTTGGTGTTCTCACCAAGTTAGACTTAATGGACAAAGGAACTAATGCATTAGAAGTAAGCACCTCTTCATCTCTTTTTGTTCATGGTCTACCTTAATGAATAGTGCTTACTCTGTTTTTTAGTGCCTCGCCAAGCTGATCTTCGAATAATGCTTACTCTTAATCTCTTTGGAGGATTCGATCTAACATTATTGAAATGCTTGCCTTTATAAGGTTCTTGAGGGAAGATCATACAAGCTGCAACATCCTTGGGTTGGGATAGTGAACCGTTCACAAGCAGATATCAATAAGAATGTCGATATGATGCTTGCGAGACGGAAAGAGCGAGAGTACTTCGACACTAGTCCTGACTACGGTCACTTAGCCAGCAAAATGGGTTCAGAATATCTGGCGAAGCTGCTCTCTAAGGTATTCAAACAAAGCCTGAAACGCTTGAGATTTTATTTATATTGTTAAATTCAATTTTGTTTCTCAATGGTCTTTGACTCTTTTGTTTCATTTTTAACAGCACTTGGAGTCTGTTATCAGGTCCCGTATTCCAAGTATCCTATCATTAATAAACAAAAGCATCGAGGAACTTGAAAGAGAGTTAGACCGAATGGGTAGGCCTGTCGCTGTTGATGCTGGGGTAAATAGAAACTCTTTTTTCTCTTTGATAGAAGAAGTTTTAACTTCTTTGCTATGGACTAAATCTTTTGGTCTCGTTCTCAGGCTCAACTATACACTATATTAGAGATGTGCCGTGCATTCGATAAGATATTCAAGGAACATCTAGATGGCGGGTAAACATCATTACTGATCTTCCTGTAATGGTGGCTTAGGCTTTTGATCTTTTTCTTGAAACTTAACATGTTACGTTTCTAGGCGTCCTGGAGGTGACCGTATCTATGGAGTCTTCGACAACCAACTTCCAGCTGCGCTTAAAAAGCTTCCTTTTGATCGACATCTTTCTCTACAAAGCGTGAAGAGAATCGTGTCTGAAGCAGATGGCTATCAACCTCACTTGATTGCGCCGGAACAGGGTTACCGCCGTCTAATCGAAGGGGCGCTTGGTTACTTTAGAGGTCCAGCCGAAGCTTCTGTGGATGCTGTAAGCTCTTCTACACTTACACAGTCACTTCACTTCTTATATTATTGCAAAAGATAGTAATGAGTTTTTGGCGCAAACGCAACAGGTTCACTATGTCTTGAAAGAGCTTGTGAGGAAGTCAATTGCAGAAACTGAGGTGAGAGACTTTTGATCTTCTCGAGATTGGTTAAATGAAACAAAAAAAGGAAGGTTTTTGTTGAATCTCTCTGGTTGTGCAGGAGCTAAAGCGTTTCCCATCGCTGCAAGTGGAGCTAGCTGCAGCAGCCAACTCATCTTTGGAGAAATTCAGGGAAGAAAGCAAGAAGTCGGTGATTCGACTTGTTGACATGGAGTCTGCGTATCTAACAGCCGACTTCTTCCGAAAACTTCCTCAAGAGATGGAAAGACCGGCGATCAACAGCAAAAGCCAAGCCGCTTCTCCTTCTCCGGCAACACCAGACCTATACGGAGAAGGACATTTCAGGAGGATAGCGTCAAATGTATCCGCGTATGTCAGCATGGTTTCAGACACACTCCGCAACACCATCCCAAAAGCTTGTGTGTACTGTCAGGTTAGACAAGCAAAGCTCGCGTTGCTCAATTACTTCTACAGTCAGATCAGCAAGAGAGAGGTAAAAAAGCTTGAAACTAGAGAATAAACAATCTCAATAATGGTTTTTGGATTCTGTGGCCTGCGTGTAAAATCTTGAATTTGGTTACAGGGGAAACAGTTGGGGCAGTTGCTAGATGAAGATCCGGCATTGATGGGTAGGAGAGTAGAGTGCGCGCAGAGGCTCGAGTTATATAAGAAAGCGAGAGATGAGATTGATGCTGTTGCTTGGGTACGATGATATCTTGCTTCAAGTGTGCGAGTGTTCCATGTTTGTCTGGTGAATGTTTATATTGTTCGTTGTTGACTTGTAATATTGTCCGTTGACACTGTTTTGTACGTGTTATTATCAGAGTTCAGAGAGGCCCTGTTTGGACGTTTTGTTTAATAATAATCTTTTGACTGCTATTTGAAAACGCCACGGCACTTCAGTGATATGTGATTGGGGATTAGAATTTTAGAACTGAAGACTTGAAAATGAGTTACACTTTTAAAAGTTAATAATTTTAACAATCACACTTTTAATTTTTTTTTTTTTTCAAAGTTCCTAAAAATACTAACAATCCAACATTTTTCTGTTTTGTTCATGTTTCTGTATATTTTTCTAAAATCTGAATTTTGAGATTTTCTTTTTTAAAGTTACAGTTACAAATTAAAAATTAAAGTTATAGTCCAAGTTTTTACAGTTACCATTTTAAAAGTTTTAGCAGTAAACGTCTCTTACCAAACAGAGTTAGTAGTATGAGTGGTGTGTCGTCTCACTTTGGTGATAGTAAACTGTTAGCCGTTTAATTATTAAAAACGCGGGTCATTTTATGAGAGGTAGAACTGCGCGCCATTTTATTTAAAAAACGCTGTGTCGTTTCATCTGTAAGATAGTAAACAACCGTGCGCTATTTTATTCGACCCCTTGTGACATTCTTTGGGAGACTGCCTGCCGTTTCATTAAGGAATCAACTGCAGAAGATCCTCGGGGGTTTTTTCTTCTTCTTCACCAGAATCTTCGCCGGGACTCCTCCAACTTCTGCGTGATTCACTGTCGCAACCGTTAGTGAGTGAGCTTGCTTTCAGCTACAGTATCCTCGGTGTGAATATGCGATCAAATTATTTTAAAGTTCTTAGCTTTTTTATTGATACAGCCAGCAGATAGTATCAGTGGATCAAGCATAGTATCTGATCATGGAAACTCCTGTTGATGATCCGATTAAGGTATCATTTTCGTTTCTGTGCCCAATTTCATTGTCACGGAAATCAATAAAATCTTGTTTATTGCCTTAAATTCAACGATGATATATCTGGGTTACAGGACGAACATGAAAGCCCTAGGTGGAAGAATTCAACAGTGGTTTTTGTGTTGGGTAGTAATTTTCACTCTATGTAATCATTCTTTTTTCTTTCTCTTTCGAATCATATGCATGAAGGTTGAATCTGTGGTGTTGAATGGTTTTGAATTTTAGGTGGTCCTGGAAGTGGAAAAGGTACTCAGTGTGCTAATGTTGTCCAGCACTTTAGGTATACCCATTTCAGTGCTGGTGATCTTCTCAGAGCAGAGATTAGGTCTGGTTCTGAATTTGGGTATGTTCTGTTTTCAGTGAATCTCGTGTCTGCAAACTAATTGCTGAATTCATATTCCACGAAACGGATCTTACGAATCCTTTCTGAGGCTTATGATGATCTTTTTATTTCAGAGCCATGATCCAAAGCACGATTGCGGAAGGGAGAATTGTGCCTTCTGAGATCACAGTGAGACTTTTGTGTAAAGCTATGAAGGAAAGTGGTAATGATAAGTTTCTCATTGATGGTTTCCCTCGCAATGAAGAAAACCGGATCGTATTCGAAAATGTTGTAAGGGTCTCATGTCTTCTCGTTGGTGCCTTTAAGAATCTAATCGAGTCTTACTTGTTTCGTTAAGCCTCCGTTTAATACTTTTCTTCTGGATCTTGACAGGCTAAAATTGAGCCTGCTTTTGTTCTGTTCTTTGATTGTCCTGAAGAAGAATTAGAGAAACGAATCATGAACAGGAACCAGGTTGGTAATCTAAGCTGGAAATGATATCTACAAGTTCGGTCCTGTTTCTCTGTTACAAGTTTTGTTTATTCTTGGTTATGAAGGGAAGAGAAGACGATAACATTGAGACGATAAAGAAGCGATTTAAAGTGTTTGTGGAATCTACCCTCCCCATTGTTAGCTACTATGAATCTAAAGGGAAACTTCGGAAGGTTGGGATTTGATTCTCCTCCTCACGACCATTACTATCACACGTTCCTGATCCTCTCTGTTTTCGTTTGTTTGTTTCCTCAAGATCAATGGTGCAAAATCGAGTGAAGAGGTTTTCGAGGAAGTCAAAGATGTATTTGCATCTGAAACTTGAGAAGGTGAAGCTTGTACTCATTCTAACGAAACAGTTTTCGGTATAGTCCTCTTTGATATTTTGTGAAAATTAATCATTATCACTGTTTTGGTTTGTCTCTATCTTTGACAGCATCACATACTAGGTATCGCCGAACAACACAAAACAGAGACTTCCATCCGAGTCCACTTGCCTTGTCGTATACGTAATTAGGTTTACGAATTATTGCTTCTGTAAATGCAAGTACATCTCTACTTTCCACATGTTCCCATTATGATGTAGCCACTTTTTCGTCGTAATAATCACATTTTAGTTAGGAACTTGTTAGGCTAGACTTAGTAATCAAGTTTCCTAATCCGCAAAGTGACCTGGCTATAAGTCAATTGATAATATGTACGAAGACTTGTAATTATGATATTGTTAATAAATTGGATTAGTACGTAGTTACATGCTTAGAGAGCAACATATTAACAAACTTGTCGTCGGCCATTATCAAAGATTTTAAATATATCGCCATATTCAATGACGACCATCCATTTCACCAAGATTAGTATAGTACTTAATACATGCATTAAGCCATATAACTTGCGTATATGTATAAACCTCAAAGAGAGCTTTTGGTTCGTTCTTCAATCGCTACTACGTAAACACTTTTTTTTTTTTTTGCTTTCATCGGAATGATGTTTGCTCAATCTGCTTTTAGATTCTGCAAATTCATCACCGTTTCCATATTCGTCGTCTTCTCTCTCCGTCTCTTCTTAAGATTCGCCACTTTCCTCGTCACCCGTCCATGGCGTCGCCACCGCACATTCACGTTCCGCCGCAGCTTGGGAATAACGGCGGCGGAGGATAAATGGTCTCCGCCGTATTGCGCCGTGTGTCTGCAAGAGGCAGAGGAAGGAGATAAGATGAGGCGTTTGACGATATGTCGTCACTGTTTCCACGCGGATTGTATCGATCCATGGCTTTGTGAAACGTCGACGTGTCCGTTGTGTAGAGCTGAGATTCCGCTTTTACCGCCGGTGAATCCTCTGCTCTTACTGTTTGTTTCCGCTGGTATAATCGATTTGTTCACCAACAAATAATTCTGATCAGAATTTACCGTCTCGACGCGTGGCATTCTTGATTAACATAATTAATTATTTTTTTTTGTAATTTTCTAGTGAATATTTATTTTTGTTAGGAGACCTCATCAGACGTGTCAGGGTTTCGTACATGTTTTCCTTTGATACTATTGTGCCTAACTCCGATACGACCAAAAGGAAAGTTAAATAAAATCCTAATTTTCCAAATGCTTTTTAATCATTTTCAAAAATTACAGTTCTTTTATAATGTTTCGCTGTCTATTACGTAAACTTGAATCTTCTAAGACTCAATGGCATACTAATAATACGTACGAACATACACCCAATTTACATTCAATTAATACTCTCCCGTATAGTCATTCCATATTTACTTTAATTATTTTGATTTTCTTAACAGCACGTAAAAATATATAATTGTTCAAAAAAATGTAACAATATACAAACATTTACGTGTGTAAAGCATAGATTTACAAGATAAAATGTAGCTTCCCTATCATGCGTACCGTGTACGTATTATTATCTTTTTCAAAATGTCGTTTAACCCTATCGATCATCATCATGTCACCTTTAAATGGATTTAAAGATTATCCTTTAAACATTCAAGTGGGATTGTAATAAGGGTACTCAATCCGGAGATTCGGTTCGAATTGTTCAGATTTCGGTATTTGTAACTTGAATTGTGGTTTTGATATAAATAAATGGGTAAGATTACGTCGGCCCATGAACACTTTTTGATTTCATTTGATTTCTGATCCATGTTTCGCTCACACCAGCCAGGCCCAAGCCCTCATATGTACAAAATATCTTTATTTCCACCACTCGTCCAAAAATAACGATTCCACATGCATGCCATATATTAATATTACTAATTATATCCATTTAAGATTACATTATATCAAATCCACTATATAATCTTAAATTCATATAATTAGCATAATCTATGCAATGTATGTGGACATTAAAAAGAAATACCACGAGTGGTTCTTATCGATTGCTATATATTACGGACTTTAGAAGAATTGTGTATTGTGAGATTGCTCTTTTTTTTTTAAATATCTTGTTGTATTTTTCCAAAGTTAAGAAAAAGGCAAGTCGATGACGCAACTAAAGCATAAGAAGAAAAAAAGGACCGAAACAGACAAGAAACTCACGTGGAAATCACTAACATGCGACACATTTTTGTAAAAGATGACAACACCTTCTTTCCTTACAAATTTGTATTGTTTTGTTTCTTGCAACAATTTGACACACATCTTATGTATTATAGAGAGAGTATATTGATAATCAGATTGGCTTTTTTGATTACTAAATAAATCTTTGTCGGTACTTCAATGTAGGACTTTTGCGTTCAGCAGCATCTTGATTCTTGAGTTCAAAATATAGGCCAAAGACATCGACTTACGTATCATCATCATATTATATCTTTGCTTTTTCATCTATCTCTCATTTCTAATGTGCCCAGGGCGGATGTTAACTTCCTTATGGGTGCACTGCCTCCACTCAAAAAAGTTTAAAATTCTGTTTAATTAAGAAAGTTATATAAGTGTCGAAAAAGTGAGTGTAATTAAGTAATGTATGCCCCCCACTAAATTTGCTACGTTGCCCCCATGTTATATTTTGGTGTCTAACTTTCAAAATTATTTAATATACAAGTATTTTCAATGTTAATATTCAAAAGATATAAAAGAAGTTTTTTGGTGCCCCCAATAAAATTAAACTAGCTATATTCCCCAAAACGTGCCTCCAAACTGATATATAAATCTTGCAGACGTATATGCCATAATTGTTTTTATATCTTATTTAATAATTTTGGAAATACTTTATAATGAATTCGATTACTAAGGAATTAGTTGCTACTGAACTCCATGCGTTCCAGGCTTGCATGCAAACAACTAGTGGCACTTGGGTGAGGAATGAGGATGGGATATTTTCATATTAATTTTATCAAACTTTTTTTTTTAAAAAAATAACAGCTTTTTGTCGGATTTAAATTAGAGACACTTTAAGAAAACCGGATAATGCAAATATGATTATGTAAAATCATGTGTAAACATACGACAGTTTTGATATACAGCTTTTGCAAGTGGACATAGTGATAGTAGTTAACTATTTGAGAATAGTTTTCATACTTAACAATTACATCAACCATATGAAAAAAGCAATTCATTTCCTCAATGATAAGGTAAATTTTCAAAATTTTCAAAGGGGGATCACACTATATGTAAATCTCTCACAGTCTCACCAATAGAACTGATATATATTCACTAACAAATAGATATTTTGTAATTTTATGGATGTATAGGTACTCATACAGTTGAAAGTACGATGTAATATCGCACTGAAATGTGGTCCCAACCATTTGCTTATACCGAAGTGGAATCTCTCTCACTCTCACTCTGATCTTCCCAAACGTCTCGAGCATTCGTCGTTTTCGCCAAATCCGTGCCACGTACATCCTTATGCTAAACAAAAAAATTCCAACAATACTAATTACCAAGTCTAAGGAAACTAGACACTTAATCACATATATATATCGTTGAATCTTCATAAACTTCTGATTTTACCTTTGTAAGTAGGGTGAGTTAAGGTGTAAAGGGGTTGTACTTCAGCGATATCACTATATACATATATATTCCACAAGAATGATTTCTATCGTTTACATTTTTCGTTAGTATGAAATTTACACGTGATTTTAGATTTTAAAATTAGTTAATATATCGACTTATAGCTATAGACAATGTAAATATTGTTTCAATTACAATATTACACTATATTTTCTGCGATATTTAACGTTTATTTTTGCGCTTGCATTTTCATATTACATAAGATTAAAACATAGCTTAATCATTCTTACTTAGCATTAACATCACTTTTACCATGACACGTACGTTTATCGCATCAAATGAGATGCATTTAGACTAACTGACAAACACTTGAAAGAGAGTGGAGTGTATTATTTGTGTACTTTTAGAATTTGTGTATGAAGATGTCACTGTCTCAACAATGGAGAAAAATTACATCCAATCAAAATCAAGTTTGCTTCATTCAGCTTTCACGTCCAATATCCCTTTTTCTCAATTTGTTTCCACACAAACATATTAATAATTACCAAAATGAAAAATATGAATGGCGTATCGGATGGTTCCGTTTTTGCCGTGGTTTTTGGTGAAAAATATGAATGGCGTATCACACACTTTCTTATCACTATCTCGTAACAAAATTGAGCTGTGGACGTTTGAAGAAAAATCATCAACCGAATTGTCTTGTTGCACAATATTTTCCATGCCTTTTTGAAAAGCCATTTTGAAATCATTAAAAAAAAATTATATGAAGGCTTATCTTCAAAAATCTTTTCCCCACCTAGAATAAATGAAAGGTATTGATTATAGACTTATAGTAGAGACATCTTCCACAAAAATTAGGTATCAATCCACGGCTGATAATTGATGGAATGTATACTTATAATCAATATAGAAAAGCCAGATGATTTAGTACTATGTGAAGAGCAGACGCTTTTACCCCACAAAAATACTGTTCTACCGCACAAAAAATACTATATACATACACTTGATACTTTAGATCTGCAGATTCTTCAGATTCTGCAAATTCTGAAGATAGTCCCTAGTCCACACGGCTAATAATTGATACTTGGTCATATATAGGAGTATAAAACAATCAAATATCCAAAAATATCATAAGAATTTTTTTAGTTACACGTAAACCATATTACGTAGAGATAATTCTATACGGTTGACCAAAAAAAGAAGAAGAGATAATTCTATACGAAACATTGTATTGGAATCATGAGACATGAAACGACACTTAGTTCATATCAACTTTTTTTCTTCTCTAAAACGATATCTAATTACAGTATTATTATTTTTTGGATCTAAAAACAACATATAATTCATTTTAAAGTACCGTCCACATTTAATTAAGTTGTCGTATAATTTAATTGGAGAATTCAATTTGTTTTTCCCCAAGGGACCCAAGCCTAATAAATCAGTGTGTCTATTTTTATTGTGTAGTAATTGGTCTTTTGCTTTTAATCTTTTGATCGAATTTTGTAGTGTTGTTGCTGACATCACTTTTGTCATATGAAGTTCTTGTCGTCATTATAAACTCAAAACATTTCCCAGACCCTCTCTCTCTCTCCGGCTTCTTCAACTCTGTTTGAAATCAAAACATGAACTCGATCGTCTCCAACCATCTCTAGTGCTTCTTTCTCACTAAGAGCGAGGATACGTGTCTTCTCAATACAAGAAGACACCTATCTATGTCCATGCCCTTTGGTTTCCACAGTTAAAAAGTTGAGATCTTTCAGCTTATAAGTTTATATATATTTTCTGGAGACTTACTTTATATGATCACGTCACATAACAAAATGCTCTCCTTTCATAGTATAAATCGAAAATCTTGTTATTAACTCAATCTTTACTTCCTTTTGACCTGAAACTGTGTTTGCTTTGATATGAGCAGCAGAGATGGATTTTCTTCTCACGAGGACGCAATGGTTTCAGCTAAACTCGCTTTGCATGAAGGAACATATAAGCATCAGTATGCAAGTGGCCTTCCTCGCTTTCTTCGTAATTCATTTGGCGTTGAAATGGCTTGGTGTGGTGAGAAACAGAGGAGCTAATGATGTAGAAGAAGACTTGAAGAAGCAGAGCATAACCGTGAAGCAGAGCTTCTCTTACACCACATCTATTCTCTGCTCTGTTTCTATCTTCGGGACTCATTGCTTTATCTTGCTTTTGCTGTTTCGAGACAGCGTGGTGTCCCGGTGTGATTCCTCTGTTTCTGTCTGCTCCGCTGAGATTTCACAGTCTTTCTCGTGGCTTATCGTCTCTATTTATGTGATGAAGATAAGAGATAGGAGACTTGTTAAGTTTCCTTGGATGTTAAGGTCATGGTGGCTCTGTACTTTCACCTTATCCTTTGCCTTTAATGCTCGTCTCATAGCTCCCAACCACGAGCCTCTAAGGTTTCAAGATTATGCTGACTTGACTGCTCTTCTCGCATCCCTGTTCTTGCTGGCTGTTTCGATCAGAGGGAAGACCGGCTTTCGTCTTCTTGAACCCAGCGAAATCACAGAGCCATTACTACTCGGTGGCGAAACAGAGCAGATCAAGAAGGATCCTTCTTCTTCTTCTTCTCCATATGGAAACGCTACTCTCTTCCAACGCATCACTTTCTCATGGATCAACCCTTTGTTCTCACTCGGATACAAGAAACCTCTCGAAAAAGACGATGTACCAGACATCGATGTGAAAGATTCCGCTCGATCTTGCTCTCAAGCGTTTGACAATAACCTTAAAACCACCATAGAAGAAGAAGGACCTGGAAAAGCTTTCTTCTACAAGTCGGTTCTTCGGTTTGTATGGAAGAAAGCAGCTATCAACGCTGTGTTCGCAGTTGTCAACGCGAGCACGGCTTACATCGGACCATATCTCATCAATGACTTTGTGGTGTTTTTAACCGAGAAACAAGACCAAAGCTTAAAGTATGGTTACATTCTTGCACTCGGTTTTCTAAGCGCCAAGATCGTCGAGACGGTCACTCAAAGGCAATGGATTTTTGGAGCTCGTCAGCTAGGAATGCGCCTACGAGCAGCTTTGATATCACATATATACCAAAAAGGTTTACTATTATCTAGTCAATCTCGACAAAGCCACACGAGCGGAGAGATCATCAACTACATGAGTGTAGATGTTCAGAGAATCACTGATTTCATCTGGTATGTAAACACTATATGGATGTTACCTATTCAGATTTTCTCGGCGATCTTTATCCTGCAGAAGCATCTAGGACTTGGAGCTTTAGCTGCATTGGTCACAACATTAATGGTGATGGCTTGCAATTACCCACTGACAAGGATTCAGAGAAACTACCAATCAGACATCATGAACGCCAAAGATGATAGAATGAAAGCAACTTCAGAGATTCTTAAGAACATGAAGATTCTGAAGCTTCAAGCTTGGGACAACCAGTTTCTCAACAAGGTCAAAAGGTTAAGAAAGAAAGAGTATGACTGTCTATGGAAGTCTTTGAGGTTACAAGCTTTCACAACTTTCATACTTTGGGGAGCTCCTGCTTTGATCTCTGTTGTGACTTTCGTTACTTGTATGCTAATCGGAGTGAAGCTAACAGCTGGAGCAGTCTTGTCTGCTCTTGCAACGTTTCAAATGTTACAGAGTCCCATTTTCGGTTTACCTGATCTCCTCTCTGCTCTAGTTCAAAGCAAGGTCTCTGCAGACAGAATCGCTTCTTACCTTCAACAAAGCGAGACTCAGAAAGATGCTGTTGAGTACTCCTCAAAGGATCATACTGAGTTAAGTGTTGAAATAGAAAACGGATCATTCAGCTGGGAGCCTGAGGCAAGCAGACCAACTCTCGATGGAATAGAGCTGAGAGTGAAACGAGGAATGAAAGTAGCGATTTGCGGAGCTGTAGGATCAGGGAAGTCAAGCTTACTCTCATCCATCTTAGGGGAGATTCAGAAGCTGAGAGGAACAGTTAGAGTCAGTGGTAAACAAGCTTACGTTCCTCAGTCGCCGTGGATACTGACAGGAACCATAAGAGATAACATTCTGTTTGGAAGCGTTTATGAGAGCGACAAGTATGAGAGAACTGTGAAAGCATGTGCTTTGATAAAAGACTTTGAGCTCTTCTCCAATGGAGACATGACAGAGATTGGAGAGAGAGGGATAAACATGAGTGGAGGTCAGAAGCAGAGGATACAGATTGCTCGAGCGGTTTATCAAGATGCTGATATATATCTACTCGATGATCCTTTTAGCGCTGTTGATGCTCATACAGGAAGACAACTCTTTGAAGTATGAAAGTTTTTAATTTTTCTGATCATTTCTCCTTTATTTATCCACCATTGACAATGTGTTATCTTTTGTAGGAATGCTTAATGGGGATGTTGAAAGAAAAAACAGTGCTTTACGTTACCCATCAAGTCGAGTTTCTTCCAGCTGCAGATCTCATTTTGGTAAGAGAAACCGCCATTCATCTAACTTAGACCATTTTTCAATTTACATTAGCCTGTGTACTTATATCAGGTGATGCAAAACGGAAGAGTGATGCAAGCAGGGCAATTCGAAGAGCTTCTGAAGCAAAACATAGGTTTTGAAGTTCTTGTAGGAGCTCACAACGAAGCTCTTGAGTCGATCCTATCAATTGAGAAGTCAAGCAGAAACTTCAAAGAAGGATCCAAAGACGACACATCATCGATTGCAGAGTCTCTTCAGACACAGCGTGACTCAGAGCACAACATCTCAACGGAGAACAAAAAGAAGGAAGCAAAGCTAGTGCAAGATGAAGAGACAGAGAAAGGAGTGATTGGCAGAGAAGTTTACTTGGCGTATTTGAGAACGGTGAAAGGAGGATTGCTTGTGCCAATCATAATCTTGGCTCAGTCTTGCTTCCAAATGCTGCAGATTGCTAGCAACTACTGGATGGCATGGACTGCTCCTCCATCTGCTGAATCCAAACCAAAGTTCGGGATGGATCGGATTCTACTTGTTTACGCACTTCTTGCTGCGGGAAGCTCACTCTGTGTTCTTGCACGGACTATACTTGTCGCCATAGGTGGACTTTTAACTGCAGAGAAGTTCTTCTCAAGGATGCTATGCAGCATTTTCAGAGCTCCCATGTCATTTTTCGATTCGACTCCAACAGGAAGAATCTTGAACAGAGTGAGTGTCACAAGAAACAGTCCAACAAAAGATATATGGTTTCTTTAATTAACTCATGACTTAAGCACCTTATTGTTTCTTTAATAGGCATCCACAGATCAAAGCGTTCTGGATTTGGAAATGGCAATCAGGCTAGGTTGGTGTGCTTTCTCCATCATTCAGATTGTTGGAACCATCTTCGTGATGTCTCAAGTTGCTTGGCAAGTTTGTGTCATCTTCATTCCAGTAGCAGTAGCCTGCGTGTTTTACCAGGTAAGAGAAAAACAAAAACAAATCTGATTTCTTGTCAATGATACAAGAAAGTCTTGCTTAAGTTTATCTTGTTTCAGAGATATTACACACCAACGGCAAGAGAACTGTCACGCATGTCGGGAGTAGAAAGAGCTCCAATCCTCCACCATTTCGCTGAATCACTTGCTGGTGCGACAACGATACGCGCCTTTGATCAAAGAGATCGCTTCATTAGCTCAAACCTTAGTCTGATTGATAACCATTCAAGGCCATGGTTCCATGTTGCATCAGCAATGGAGTGGCTTTCCTTCAGATTGAATTTGCTTTCTCATTTTGTCTTTGCTTTCTCCTTGGTGTTACTTGTGACTCTCCCTGAAGGTGTCATCAATCCAAGTAAGTCTCATACAGATCATAAATCAGCAAAGACGTTGTCTAATGGGATCAAAGCTCAAACTTCATCTTCACCTTTCTTATATAGGTATTGCTGGTCTTGGAGTCACATATGGCTTAAGTCTGAATGTTTTACAAGCCACGGTGATATGGAACATATGTAATGCAGAGAACAAGATGATCTCTGTAGAAAGGATTCTTCAGTACTCCAAAATCCCAAGTGAGGCTCCTTTAGTAATTGATGATCACATACCTCTTGATAACTGGCCAAATGTTGGAACAATCGTCTTCAGAGACCTACAGGTAAACAAGAAAGTTCATAATCTAATTCACAAAAAAAAATATGTAATCAAGATTTTTCAATCCCGAGATGTCTTTGATCCAGGTCCGGTATGCAGAACATTTCCCAGCTGTCCTGAAGAACATCACCTGTGAGTTTCCAGGAGGGAAAAAGATTGGAGTTGTGGGAAGAACAGGAAGCGGCAAATCAACTTTGATTCAGGCATTATTTAGGATTGTTGAGCCAAGTCAAGGAACCATAGTTATTGATAATGTTGATATTACCAAGATTGGTCTGCATGACCTGAGGTCAAGGCTTGGGATCATTCCTCAAGATCCAGCACTGTTTGATGGAACAGTCAGAGTAAATCTAGATCCTCTAGCTCAGTACACTGATGGTGAAGTATGGGAGGTAAAAATTTACTGCAAAAATCTTCTCAGATTAACTTTAACAAAACACTGTAATACAATGTTTCATAATTTTATAGGCGCTTGACAAATGCCAACTAGGAAAAGTTCTGCGTGCAAAGGATGAGAAGTTGGATGCTACAGGTGAGAGAATCATTATGACATTATCATGAAAAAACTATATAATGAAACTCAAAGATTCTTGAATGTGTTTTGTAACAGTGGTTGAAAATGGAGAGAATTGGAGCGTAGGGCAAAGACAGTTAGTATGTCTAGGGAGGGTGTTGTTGAAGAAAAGCAACATTCTGGTGCTTGATGAGGCAACTGCTTCAGTTGATTCTGCAACAGATGGTGTGATACAAAAGATCATCACTCAAGAATTTAAAGACCGAACAGTGGTGACTATAGCTCACAGAATCCATACAGTGATCGAGAGTGATCTTGTTCTCGTTCTAAGTGATGGTGAGGAAAAAAAATTACAAATGTGCATTCACGTACAAACACGTATTTAGTGACGAGGACTAAACCACTTTTTTTGTTTTCAATGAGCAGGACGAATCGCAGAGTTTGACTCACCTGCAAAACTGCTAGAGAGGGAAGATTCTTTCTTCTCCAAACTCATAAAAGAGTATTCGACGAGATCTAAACACTTCACCTGATCATTTTCATACATCTTGTTGGTTGATGATGCCTCTTCAGTATTTAGATGGTTTACATTGGCGATGTCTCCATGCCTCCGAACAAAGTGAAAGTCGTTGCATATTCCTTTGATACAATTTCTGGAATCACATTTTTTTTTTCTCTCGAGTTTTGCACTAATTTAAGCTGTTGTTGTATGAACTTTAAAAATGGCATTGTGGAATCTCAGCTGAACGTAGGGTTGGCTAGAGAACGTATGCAGAATCAACCTTAGTTCAAGTTTAAAAATTTCGATTCTTCTGCAAAAGCCTTGCAAACAAAGAGTGTGAAACATTTCATTTACAGTAGAGTAGAAGGTGGTGGTGTTTCAACTACAAAGATGGAGCTCGAGTCTAGACAAGTTTCTTAGGAAGCAATGCAGCGGCCACGATCCTGTCTTGTTCATTCAGAATGTTGTACGTCGATGCAGCATTTCTGTGGATAGAAGAGGCAAATACAGATAGTTCCAAGCCCAACAGAACATGGACTTGTAGGAGGATAAGAGAAGCTGGAATGGATCAGACATACGGAATCAACTGTTTCTAGCTTCATGCCAATTGTCTTTACGACATCACATGGTTTTCTATTGGGCTATAAGAACACATCAATCAATTTCAACCCAGAAAAAGTTCTTAACACATAAAAGAATGTCTTTTCAACACAGTATCACATCTTCTGATATCAACGATTACTAAAGCTTCAAACTTTCTAAAATCATTGGTTGCTCAAGTTTCAAGAATGTAACTTTAAGCAGCTGCAACATCTCTGAACTCTAAAGGGTTTCATCAGTTGCTCAAGATTCGAGCATAGTCAGCCTGAGCATAGTCTCCAGTACCATCATAAGCTGAAGAAAAGAGAGAGGGTGTACCTTATCCATTGTGATATCGGAGAAATTACATGACATTAGCATTCACCGTGAAGCTCGTCTCTCATCAAATCTGCCAAAATCACCACAACTAATCGATTTTCATACAGAGCTAACATTCAAATCCAATTGCTGAACATTTGAAATTGGAGCACGAACCAGAGAGATGTAATGGGATTTGATTTGTCTACTCCTGAAACCGAAGCTGGTCCTCAGGAACATTATCGATGAGACTGGTCTGATCGTATGCAGAGAAAGCACGTATGTCTCACCACCGTCATCTCCGCCGTCTCGCAATCTCTCCGTTCCCTCGGCTGTTATTATACGAAATCGGTTTATTGGTTTATAACATGTACCACCATTATTGGTTCTCGCTTCCGATGGGTAAACCACCACTGATCTATATCGGTTTACACAATATCTCCGTTCGCCCAGCTGTTGTTATACGAAGCCGGTTTATTATTGGTTTACATCACTGATTGTTGATTCCTATTATGGGTAAACCGCCGATCTAGATCGGGTAACCCTAGTTAACTGCCGCAATTCTGGTACATCTAAATTTGGCAATTTATTAGGCAATATTTACTAAATTATTAGAACAACTCACAAAAGAAAAAAAAAACTATTTATATTTGTTTATTTCACTAAGAAAATTTTCGTATACAAACATGAATTTCAATTCAAACTAAATTATAAGGACAATTACACACAGATAATTTTTCAATATACAGTAGAACCTCTATAAATTAATACTCGATAAATTAATAATCATTATAAATTAATAATTTTTATCGGTCCCAAGTCGGATCAGTGTAAAAATTAATAAATTTCGATAAAATAATAAGATAATATTTTTTTGAAACTCCAATGTAAAAATATAGTCCCAATAATTATATAAATTAATAAGTGTACATTTAAGCATATATAAATAATATAATGTAGTAAAATATAATTATATTATTGTTTCAAGTTTATAAAAATTGTTTGACTTATTTTTTAAATTCACTGATATGATATTTTCTGAATAAATTGTTTAATGTTGACAATATTTTTTTGTTTTTTTACAAATATTTTGAATTTTGAACCAAAATATCTCTCTATAAATTAATAAAATATTAATTTTTCGATAAATTAATAATTATTAATTTATCAATTAATTAATAATTCTATAAATTAATAAATTTTTGCAGCCCCAACATTATTAATTTATAGAGGTTTTACTGTACAATTAAATGATGGAAGGAGGAGTCACGACAACGCCCACTACGAGTAGCTCTCTCTGCAAAACACCAAAACGACTATAAGGAAAGCCAAACGCACAACGATGATCCTCCTCTGCTCTCAACGATTGGTTCGCCGAAACAAAAAATCCAGCCCAATTTTCAAAACGCAGTTCCTCCTGCAGAGTCTTATTCCCCTCCACAAGTGGCATCTCTTCGAAATCCTCTTCTCTAGTTTCTCCAATGACTCTTGTAAGGAACCGCTTAAACCATTTGACCGAGTCTTTTGGATAACGTATGAGACCGCCGTTGATAAAGTCAACATAGTAAAGACCAAATCTAGCAGTGTATCCATGCTCCCATTCAAAGTTATCTATCAATGACCATGCATAGTATCCTCTTACGTCACACCCATCTTCCCTATAACCATATTATAACATTTAAATAACAAAATCGATTTAAATTGAAACGTATATAATTTTGAGAAAGATCAAGAACTAACACTATAGCTTTGTGAAGTTGTTGGAAATGTGTGTCATGGTATTCAATCCTAAATGCATCTTTGAGAACATCTTCTCTTAGTCTTGTACCATCGTCGATATCGTTGATTCCTGCAATTCATAAATCAGCATAAGTTATGTCATCTAAAAATTGGAAAAAAACAAACTATTAGAAAATCAGTTAGTTTATCCGGCTAGCTGATTTATTTACATTTTATAGAGTTACAAAGATTATGTACTAAAATCCAGAACTTCCTAGTTAGGAGATATAAATAATAACGTTTTAGAATTTCTGGTTAACATATTAAAAAAAAAAAAAAGTTTTCTAACCATTTTCTTTGATGTAGACCGGCATGTTGTTGTATCTATCTTTGATATAGTTTAGAACTTTTCGCAAGCCTTCCGGGTGTGACAATATTATGCCCCTTTCATCCTGTAGAGAAAAATACAAATTCAAAAAACTTAGGATGATATTTTATGTTGCATTTAGAAACTAATAGCTATAATGAAGAAGAAAGCACTTACCCCAAGTCCGATATTGTGGCCAGTGTGGTTAGTCACTGTTTCAAAGAAATTTATAAACGTTGTTTAGTTTATTATCTAAATTATATTGAAATTGGTATAAATAAACATTTTCTTAAGCAGTTAATTACGTACGTGACCATTTGACGTGATGATCAGTCTTGAACCGAGGCTTTGCTGGGTCGATGTGAGGAATATGAGCAGCGAAGCGTGCTGTATAGTAATTTATTCCGACAAAATCTGATGAATTTTTTAACATATTCGATTCTTCCACGGTAAATGAAGGTAACTTATCGCCCGCATATTTTTTCACCATCTCTGGATAATCTCCATGAATCACTGGATCAAGATGCCTATGTACATATATAAAATTTAAAATAAAGATTAATTAATAGATCATATCGATGATACAAACAATAATTTAATTTATCTTGCTTAGAGAACGTACCATCCAATTTCAAAAGCAAGAGCTCGTTCGGCTGCTTCTTTATCATCAATAGAGTCGGAATGAAAAGGCTCGAACCATCTTGGTGACAAAACTATACCAATTTGACCATCATGAGAAGTTTTGTTACATTTTCGGAATTCATCTACTGCAGCGGCATGAGCAAGAAGAACGTTATGTGAAACGATGTAAGGCTCGGTACTCGAGTCACCGGCCTGACACTTTTCGCTAACCCATTTCGAGCATCGTCCGGCCGCCTTGTTTCCTTGATCGTAACCGGCAATAGTCATAATGTACGGTTCATTAATCGTTGTCCACATCTTAACTCTATCTCCAAACTCTTCGAAACAAACTCTTGCAAAATCTCGGAAATCTTCTCTGTTTTGATATAAGTCATACAAAAATAACAAAATCAGTCGTATCTACAATAACAAAATAAAAAAAATGTATTTTGTAGAATTTGAAATATATAAATTAGGCTTACATAATTCTAGGGCTTAAAAAGCCACCATATTCGGCCTCCAAAAATTGTGGATGGTCCCAATGATAAAGTGTCATTGAAGGTTGTATGTCTGCATGTTTATCAGATCATACGATTTGTTTATTTAGCATATAGACCTTTCAATTAATTAGAGATTTTTTCAACCTTACTAGTAAATTAATGATCTTACCATTAGCAAGAAGTTCGTCGATGAGATCATTGTAGAATTGTACACCTTCTTTGTTTACTCCATCCTTTAGCTTTCCACCTGTAGATAATTGTACATAAATAACTCGTATAATTGACAAAAGGTTTATTTAATTGTTTGTTTACTAAAAAGATTATTTTATTGTTAATAAGGAAAAATAATTAATTATCAACCAAACAAAACTTACTGGGAATTAATCTGGCCCACGAGATTGAGAATCTGAAAGCGTCCATGTTCAGCTCCTTCATCAACTTAATGTCATCCTGATTTGTTTTTTTCTTTTCTTTTAGTCATCCCGATTTGTTTGTTTGTTTGTTTATCATAACAAAACAAAAACGATAACTATATACGAGCTCGTATAAAAGAGTCTAAATCAGTGCCAGTCTAACAAATTTTAATGCGTTGCGAAAAAAACTAAAAAATATGTGATTATATATGGTAACTTAAATAGTAAAACCTTGTTCAATAAAAAAAAAATATGTGGTAACCAAAATCAAAAAGAATAGTAATGTAAAAAGAAATTCAGTGAAAATTTTATAAAACAATTCAATTCCTAACAAAAAATCTTAATTTATAAAAAAGTGTAAAATAAGAAAAAATATAGTAAAATAAAATTATATGAAGTATAGTTTTTCTAATTTTTGGCTGCAAATCATTAATCATTTATTAAACTTACGTAGTCGAGTTTTTCAACATAGCTGTCTCAATCGATAACAATGCTAACTTATTCAATTTTGTTTGTGACATGGTAGACAGCAAATAATTTTTAATTAATTTCAATTTTGAAAAAAAAATTTAGTAGTGTCAACTGATATGAAAATTAATAGTTATTTGACAATAAATTTGATTAGTATGTCTGTTAATAAAAAGGCCATAATATTGCTAACAAAAACCATATAAGGAGTACTATTTAAGAAAAAAGTCTTAACACTTTATTTACATATAAGTATTAAATAGAAAACCCTAATAAGAAAAAAAAAATGTCCCTTAAATTACACTGTCCTAATCAGTCGCTTTCTTTGTTGAGCATGTGGGCCCCACTCCAAGAATAGTAATAAACTGGCTTATTTGGAAAGTTATCTTGACGTGACTGATATCAAAATTCTAAAATAACCTGATTTTGGTTGGTTTCACATAATATATATATAATTATATATATGGATAGTTTGATGTAGTTTTAGTTCTAAATAGCTTGTTTATATATAAATGTTTTTTTAAGGAGAGACTGATTATAGATAGTATACCTTGTAACGGTGATAAAAATCAATTGCTACATTTGCATTATGCATTTTGGTTCTTTCTGCAGTCAAAGATTTTATCAATTTATCATTAGTTTTACCTCTTAGTCACAAACACACATATAATTCAAATAGAAATATGGTCATTCGTATAACTGTATAAGAGTGTTAAGCTGTTAATCATCCGCAAATTATAGTTTTTGGACAAACCTGGGTAAATGCGGCTGAAGTAGTCCCAGACACCTGGAGATTTCCCACCTTCGTCTGTTGCTCCTTCGTACTGCATAAATAGAAGATTAGAAAAACACTATTTTTAACCCTTTATTAAAAAAAAATAACACTATTTTAATCGAAAAGCTAATTTGGAACGACAAAAAATTTTTTTTGACCAAATAAAACATATTTTTCCAATAACCTAAGTCTGTAATCTGTAAAAAACTAATGTAACTAATTGGAAAAGAAAGAAAATTAACTAAAATAATAGAATGATCAAAAATAATTACCAGTTTAGTAAATTATTTAATTTGTAAATCAAAGTTTCCTTTGTCTCCCCTAATCAAACATTATAACTTTCCAGTTTCCACGGATGAAAAAGCAAAAAAAAAATCATTTTATAAAAAAATGTCATTTTAACATATTTCACACAAATTAAAAAAAAGTTATTAAAAATCTAGTTTACTTCTTGTTCTCATACAAAATAACATTTTCTCTCTACTTAAATTATTAAATTAATAAAGTAAAAACTGGGTTTCTATATTAAATTTTGCATTGAAAATATAGAA